CTCCGTAGATCTTCGTTAAGCTTAGCAGCCGCTGAGTTCACTTCATTGACGGAAAATGACAAAAGTAGCTTCGAGTCGTCGACGTAAGACTTCAAATTTCCATTCTTTGGTACCATAGGTAAATCATTAATATATATGTTGAATAACATGGGACCGAGAATTGAGCCCTGCGGAACGCCATGATTGAGTGTGCGTGTTTCAGAGACGATCCAGTGCGCACAACCTGCTGTCGTCCTGTCAAGTAACTTTTAAACCAACATAAAGCGTCATCGGACACTCCCAATACTTGGAGCTTTTTTAGAAGCAATACATGATCGATACTGTCAAATGCTTTAGAAAGGTCTAGTAGACCTACGACTTTAAGATCTTATCCGATATAAATAAATTCAATGTTTCAGTGGAGTGCAGCTTCCTGTTTCCACTTTGGTGCACGCTTAAGCATTTCTTCTGTTCCACATATGCGGTAAATTGTTCCAAAACTACACGCTCGCAGATCTTTGATGCAGCAAGTAGCAAGGAAATTGGCCGATTATTTTTAGCAATTTCGTGATCCCCTTCTTTTAATAGGGGAATAACTTCTGACAACTTCCAGGCGCTGAGAAACAAAGATTCTCTTAAAGAGCAGTTAACAATATCCGTAAGAGGTTGAAGAATGTATGGTAAGGCATCTTTGATCACTTTCACAGAAACTTTATCTGGTCCAGGGGACTTATTGGATGGAAAAGAACACACAATTTTACGAATCACGTCACAGGACACAGGGTGAAAATGAAACTTGTCAATTTCTGCTCTAAATTTATGTGGTATCTCTGGATGAGTCGATGTAAGACCATATGAAGTAATCAACGCTTTGGATTCTTCTGCCGCTTTTGCTCCGACTGAAGAAAAGTATTCATTAAATTTGTTCGCTACTTCAACGACATTCCCAGAATAAGTTAAACGTGTTTTTTCATTTCTAGGAATACATTCTCTTACAGTTTTCCAAAGGGAGTTGGTGTTGCTATTTTTGTCATTAATTCTTTTATACACAAATTTTCTCTCGGATTCTCTCAATTTTCTTTTAATTTGATTTCTACATGAACGATATCTGTCGCAGTCATCTTGCGAAGTTTGCCGTTTTTCAGTCTTTTTGCCGCAAAATGCATTACAAACGGGAAATTGATAATCAGATGATGAAACTATGATCAATTTTGCATTTGTAATACAAAATGACTGAAAAACGGCAAACTTCGCATGGCTATATTATCCGCATTTTACAACATTTCGCAACGAAACTAATTTTGTCATGCTCTTTCAAGCTGTGATGAAATTCTTGTCCACGCTAGTCTAGATCAAAATTTAACTTAAAAGGGGAAAGGTTTATTGAAATAGCTGTGTAACGTATCAGGCATCATATACAGTAATGTGAATATTTGTATATAGCCCCAGCGAGTTAACGCTCCATATAGAGCGTCTTGTTACTTTTATTTCTTACCTTGTTCCCACATGTGTTTTGTTTTGATTATTTTTTGTAGTAATTGTCTTAGCTTCTTGTATATTTTTATATTTTTGTATTATATTATATTATATTCTGCAATGCAATTTACATATTTTGTTTACACTTTGTTATGATTAAATATTTAAATCCATCTAGTTGCATATGGTTTACTTTATTATTTTTTGTCATGTGATGCTTCCATACTCTTAGGATAAAACCTGTGCATTTTCCGGTCCCTGTTAGAACCTGTCACTAACTCTTGACGAAGGGCCTTCGCTCGAAACGTCGAGTTTCACGTAGTAATATAACCACTCAACACATCATTTTCACAATGGTACAACCCACACTGCATGGTACAGACAGTTTTAGTATATACTCAGAAGAGCCTTGTACAATATTCATTCACAGCATTACTTCGAATTTAAGGTAGTTTCTAGAGAATTGCACCCTTTTTCTAACGATATATAGCAGTTTGGTGGCCGTAGCCGATGAATAGAAATAATATCACGATATATGCATCATTGCCACTTTTGAAATTTGATATTAAGAAAACATTTGTACGAAATATAATCACCACTGTGAAGTACGCACGAGATTCAATATGACATTCAACATGACATTGGATATTGTGCAAATTAATTAATTTCAATCACTCAAAAGTCAAAATGACAAATACAGCCATTTCTTTTCTCCCAAATGAATTAGAAAAAAAAACCCATTCAAGGTCACATTAGCTAACTAGTACCTTTATGGGTTTCTGCAAAAAAACAACAAAACGTCTCTCAAGGTACTGCAAAACGATACTTTCCTAACAGCTATCCACAATATAAATTTCTCCGCACTATTCTATAGGATTTTTTTAAACTTACATATCTTGTACAAATTTATATCTTCTATCCATTGGTTGTTGAACATTAGGTGGCTTAGGCCTAGAAACAATCGAAATTCAGCCGCAAACTGAACGGTATTAGCTGGAAACGAATACTATTTAGTTAGCGCGCACGCACTGACAAGAATAGCATGTCAAACTATAAATTTCTCCGCCGCTATTCTATAGGATTTTTTAAACTTTCATATCTTGTACTAATTTATCTCCTCTTTCCACTGGTTGTTGAACTTTAGGTGGCTTAGGTCTAGAAACAATCGAAATTCAGCCGCAAACTGAACGGTATTTGCTATACGACATTACTAATTATAGCGCGCACGCACTGACAAGCTAAGAGTACCATATTAAACTACTAGAAAATACATGCATGCAGAAACCCTCGCCTTGCTGACAAAACCAATGTATTTTCCGAACATGAAGTATCCAAAGTTGTTGTCATGGTAACACGATAATTTTTTTAAGAATATTCTTACAAATGAAAAATCGCCTAAAAATATCACTTTTAATTACAAAATTATCTATTTCCCAACATATATATGTTAGGTATGTTATTATACGTAATATAAGCTTCAATTTAAGGTAAAATTCAACCAAAAAAGTTTCGCAAAACGTTTTAAAATGTTCTTTATAAAACTAAACTGCCTTTAATTAAATGGCTTTATCGATAAACATTGAGTTTGCAATAACATGATTTCAAATTCTCGCATGCGCGCATGCATACAAATAACTTTGCTTTCTTTTTTATTAAAAAAATTCAATATAATAAAAAAGGGAATCAATATTAATAATACACTGAAATTATATGCTGTCTTGTTTAGTTGTTTCATATACGCAAAGGGCCAAAGGCCGTCGGGTTTAAAAGCAATTATAAAATCAATATTTAAAACAAACTTACCTTCGTTAAGTCGGCTCCCTTCTTTTAGCCGATTCTTTCGCCCTTTCTTTCTTGAAATTTACAAAATCTTGCAAAAATGCGAGCAAAAATGAAATATATTTCCAAGAAATTTATCAATCATCAAATCGAGAAATGTTCGCTATTTCGCTGTCCTCATGCAGTCGACGCAAAAAATTTTTCCGTAGACAGTCGGACTCCTCGTTGATATTCGGACGCATCATTGACCCGCGCCCTTAGACAAAACATTCAGCGGATACTCTTATTAGATGCGCCTTCCCAGTGTGTCTTGCGCACGCAATTGGTGATTTCAAAATATTGTATTGCTTGGTTGAGATGTCAAGATCTGAGTAGGACACATTGTGGCTTCATATCTTGTGTGGCGATGACATTATATTCGCCATTCCCACTTGCTTTTCTTTGCTTTTGTAACTGTTTTTTGTAACTCTTTTCTTTGCTTCTGTAACTCTTTATAAGTTAAATTGTTTTCGATTAAAATGGAAAACAATATCTTCCGGAGCGATTGCAGAATACCCGTCCACTTTTAAGCCATGCCTTTCAAACATCATGGATTGGATGTATCAATACATCTATATTTATTCTCAATAGATTAATAAATAGATTGATAGATTAAAATCCCATGGTGGTAAAGGTAGCTACGAAGCATACAGTGAGTAGCGTTAATAGTTTAAATTGTCATAGTGTTAAAGGTAGCTCTGTATTCTAGTGGATACGCGGATACGCAGTCAAATAGTTATTTTGAGAATGAGGCATACAGTTAGATTAGCATTAGATCAAATTCTCATGCTATAGGTAGCTCTATATTTTAGTGGCTACGCGGATACGTGGACACGCAGTTAAGTAGCTATTTTGAGATTAAGGCGACAGTTAGTTGGCATTAATAAATTAAATACTCATGCTATACAGAGCTTAATTAAATCATAAATGTGGTGTAATATATAAATATGTTCCTCACAACCGGACATTGGTGTTTGACAGATTATGATTAATTAGTGTCGCTGAGAGAAAAACAATTATATTATAAAGCATACTAAGCATAATATTAAATGATATTTCTTGTCTTGAATGATATTTCCTTTATAGTATCAATTCGTAATATTGTCTTGGTAATTAGTTTGTGGAAATTAGAACGAGGCAATAATATCTGGTATATACGTATCCAGTGAAATAGTGGCCGGGCTACATGATATGATATTACTAGTGGACGGGTATTCTGCAATACTTCTATTTGTTTTTAACTCGCAATAACAGTTCTTGAGTATTTTCGGAACCAGAAAAACAAGTTTGTAGATTGGTATCGCAAAGCATATCGTTCATCTTTCTGGCGTGGTCGAAGAACAACGTGGAATGATGGATATATGGTGCACCAGTGGGTTACACAGGGTACGAAGGGATCCATCGATAACGCGCAGAGGCCTGGACGCGGATCAATGATGCGTCCGACTATCAATGAGGAGTCCGACTGTCTACTGAAAAAAATCAGTGTCCGCTATTCATGACAGTCCGCCATATTTTTGAGATCAGTGAGGATGATCACCTACCGAACCACTCACGGTAACCCACGCCCGCGCTCATTGACGAACTTTAGACATGGCTAATGCTTTCGTTTCCCCGGGTGTAAATAGCCGGGGGGAATTAGTACCCTCGCACGGCGCTTCGCGCCGTACGTCGGCTCGGGGATAAATTTCTCCGCTGCTATTCTATAGAAATATTAGTTTAACAACAACCAGTGGATAGAGGAGATAAATTTGTACAAGATATGAAAGTTTAAAAAAATTCTATAGAATAGCAGCGGAGGAATTAACAGTTTAACATGCTATTCTTGTCAGTGCGTGCACGCTATAATTAGTAATGTCTTATAGCTAATACCGTTCAGTTTGCGGTTGAATTTCGATCGTTTCTAGATCTAAGCCTCCTAAAGTTCAACAACCAGTGGATAGAGAAGGTAAATTGGTACAAGATATGAAAGTTTTAAATAATCCTATAGAATAGCGGCGGAGAAATTTATAGTTTAAATTCGTGGCAAGTTGTATATATTTAATATTTATTTGCAGTGTGGATAGCTGTTTTTAATAGGAAAGTATCGTTTTGCACTGGCTTGAAAGACGTTTTGTTGGTTTTTTGCAGAAAACCATAAAGGTACTAGTTAGCTAATGTGAATTGCATGGTTTGTTTTTTCTAATTCATTTGGGAGAAAAGAAATGGCTGTATTTGTCATTTTGACTTTTGAGTGATTAAATTTAGTTAATTTACACAATATCGAATATCATGTTGAATGTCATGTTGAATCTCATGCGTACTTCACAGTGGTAATACAATCAGACTATCGATTTGAAACTATGGTATTTTGTACAGAATTTTACTCTCTTTCTAATGATCTATAGCAATATAATAGCACAAGCCGGAGAATAGCAATAATATATTCGAAATATACCGGTGTGCGTTAATATATGAAAAGCATTTACGCGTTTCAGGGAAATATTACATAATACGTACTTGTATTTCCGTCTTTGTCCAAAATAATTTAGGTGCAAAACCTCCCAAGCTGCCAAACTGGTCTTATGTAACAATCACCCAGTCATATTTATATTAAATACAACAGCAAGAAGAAAGCTGAGTCCAACAATACTGCAACTTTAGTACATTAAACTGATCATGTCGTTCGTAAATATTAAATTCTAAAGGCAAGAATGACACTGTCTGTTCAACCCACAATCTCGTACCCAGAGCAATGCCTGTGCGCGGGCTAGGATGGCATTGGCTCTGGGGAAATTGACAACCGGAACCCCTAAATTTAGGGATTCCGGTTCTTTGTCGGCATGCACGATTGATAAACGTTAACCAATCACAGTACAGGAAAAATTCAATTTCCCCAGAGCCATTGTTCATTTACATTGTTCGAGTATGCTTACAGTAGTTTATAATTTATGGCTATTTTACATTGTTTGATTTCATAGACCTTTTCAAGCTGATGTTTTTGGTGGTATTTTCGTACTTCTACTGCAAATACTCGCAGAGTTCTGTAATATTTAAACTTCCCGTCATATACATCGGAAATCAAATAATACGGAGCTATATGAGTTAAGCAATCGTGAAATCATATACATGGAAAGAATGCGGAAATAATGTTGAATGAAAGCATCGCGTATAATGTTAAACGCATCGCGTATAATACTCGAACCACTGCGTATAATTGCAAAAGTACCGCGTATATATATAATGAAAGCACCACGTATATATAGTAGCGAAAGCACCGCGTATAATGAAAAATGCCGGAACCACCGCGTATCATTATACGCGGTGGTTCCGGCATTTTTCATTATACGCGGTGCTTTCGCTATTATATTCGCGAAAGTACCGCCATATAATGCGAAAAGCACCCAACAAAATGCCGTTTGATCACTTTAAGCCAGCTATGGCTTTCCATAAAAGAAGATCAAAGATGAAAGATGATCACATTGCTTATTTGCCTTATGCCTGACCGCACTGCACCACGGTCAAAATTTACTGGTACCGTCATGCAGTGCGCCAAATAGAAAATTTTTATTTCGACCCACAAAACAAAACAAAATTAGGATCTGCTGCCTTGCTCGCTCGCTTCAGGCTCGCTCGCTTCAGGCTCGCTCGCTGCGGTAGCAATCATATGAATTTAATAATAAGGAACAGTTTTAAATGTCAATTTTGTCAAGCATTCCCCGGCGACTTGTCCAGAAGTTTTATTTTATATGTTTCAAAGTAGGAAGACAGGTGACAATCAAATAATTTTAATCCAAATTATAAACAATGACTCAATATAATGTTATTTTAATTCATATAATTGCTGCCGCAACGAGGTCGCCTGGAGCGACCGCCAACCGAGCAAGACAGCAGACCTAAACTTTAATATGGGGGTGGAAATCTGAAGTTCAAATTTGCTCAGAATATTCGTCCAGTAACAGTAATTCTTGTATATTTTGAGTTGATTTTGTATGAAAGTAGCAAAACGAGCTCGTGTTGATAAATAAAGTCTGAGACTCTCCACATCTTCAGAGTTGTAAATCCCGTTTCGCGCGGCGTTATAAAGCCATAATACTCCAAATTTTTTGCTCAAAATTCTTCTTGTACGCTTATATCTTTGTGATTGTAAAATTGGCCCGGTCGGAAACGTAGCCAAGGCAAAAAGCGCGAAGAACTACCGTCTGTAATACAAATCTATACAAAAGTGGGGGCCCAGAATCGGCTGGCAGCGCGCGCCGTGACTTCCGGCTTCACTTTTGTATACTATAGATGCGTTATCCAGTCTTATTTCAAATCAGTGATTCAACAATTGTATGTTGAGAATTCTAGTTAATCGTTATATATTTAATTATAGGTAACCATGACGGCATTCAATTAGGAATGAACACATTTTTTGCATGCCAAATATAATCTAATGTATGTGTAAGTTGAGAGGGTTGGTAATTAGTTGAGAGTAGACAGCCAATCTGCGCGTGTGAGCGAGATTGGGAAATATTAATATAGAAATTTAAAAAAATCTGAAAACGTGATTGTGAATAGTGTTGCGACTACAAAGCATTTCCAACACTAAGTGGCACCTCCGACGGGATATTTTTCTAATATGGCTGAGAAAAACGGTGAACAAAGCAAGGACGCCAAGCTGGAATCGGACCGTGAAGCAAATCTGAAGCTTCTCGTATTTACAAGGGATAAAACTGGGGCAGTTACGGCATCTGCGAATATAGTGGCATTGGAACGGCAACTTTTAAAAAGCGTTGAACACGGTGGTAGACGAGGTTGATACGTTGCGAAGGAGTGTCGAACAGTCGAAGTTTGAAAATGGAGAAGAACCTGAGACGGTTGCAACATGGGGCGAAAAATTGGACGATGAAATCCCCTGGGAACGAGGGTGATTTTATATAGGTGCAAATAAAAAACAATTTTTAAAAACCTCCCCCACAACCTGGTTATAAATTTTGTAAAAAGGACGCTAACCAACTTATTTCGTTTATTTGGCCTTATCCATCTCCTCTCCTCGCTCTTCCAATACGACGTTTTTGCATTTTCATATTTTTTGAAGCGGATAAGCAGCTCTGCCAATGTGAATCCTGTTGGCGAGTTTGTAAGCTCTTGCTTTAAAGCTTTCTATAAGTAATAACAATACAGATAACTTGGTTGCAATATTTAACTGATTAATATAAAAAAATTTCCCGTGATGAGTAAAATTGACAGGCGTTAGACAGAGTGAAAACTAAAGGGTGCACGGGGCCGCATTGCGTGTTAATTATTGGATTAATTAAAACATATTTAACAGTTATTGAATGAGGCTGAGCACGATATGAAGAATTATCAAGCCCGAAGTTTGCCGTTATTAAGAAAAAAACAATTCCTTAGTCTTTAGGCAGCCGTCGTCGCGTCATATCAATGGCGTCAGCGAGTGGATATGATTCTCGTTGTCATAGTGATATGGCGCAAACGCGTCCAATATTTTTTTTATATTGACTCGTTCACATCATTTTGCTAATATGAATGTGAAAAATTCGTATTTGATTAGCCATTGTGTTGATATGACAATTTCACAGTTGGCTGTTAGCCAATCAGAAACCAGGAATTTTTTAAATAAATAATAATTTGTATTGAAACATAGTTTCTCACCTTGTAATTGTAAACACATTATAATGCAGCCTGCCAATAGCTTAGGGATTTGTCATGAATTATGGGGGG